CCGACGCGTGCCAAAGGACGCTGAAGGGTCGGCAATGGGAAAGTTGTACTTGCTCAGAGGTTCTACAGCCCTTTGACAAAGAACGATTTGAGGCGGTGCCCGTAGTGAGAGCATGATCATGTATATGCGACTGCACCTTTACTATGGTACCTCCTGTTTAGATCAGGGTACAGGATCCCCTGGGGGCCAATGGGCACTCAAATACAGACATGGAAGTACCGCACGCATATCCATACTTCAAAACATTGTGGATTTACCTGGGTACGCGTGTGGTCAACCAACAGGGCCGTGATGCGCTGTCATGGAGTAGTCCCTGTGACCGTGATATGGCCTGTTTAGGCAGGTCGGGTGGTTTAGACGCCGGAGAGAAAAAAATCCGCGCGTTCACGGACTTATGCAAGGCGCTGTATTCCCCCTTCATGTAGTGCTCTGTATACCTCGTAGCTAATGAATACGTCCTGCATACAACCATCACGGCGGCATACACTGAGGCTCAAAAATCTGCGGAAAGCGAGGCAGCGTCTAGACGTCTAGCTACCGAATGTAAGTAGTGATATTGAATATAGAGCTGGTGAGCGTCTCACATTATTTACAGGCTCAACAACGCATATGGGCTCCCTGGGAGGTACTCCATTGCAAGGAGGCTTCTGTGACCCTGTTAGGCAGCATCAGTATGAGGACACTGATGCAAACAACGACACAAATTTCCCTTCATCATCAGAATCAAGCTCGGATCTCTCTTCAATTTTTTGCTCTCATACTGGCAAATGCCAAAGACAGAGAGGAGAGTCTGACATGAGAGCGATGCTGGATGAGGAACTTGGGGTATGAAACATCTTGGACAGGGATGCCGATGGAGAGCCTGCTATGGACATTTTGGGGACAATTGATGGCGCAGGGAGGGACCAACCAGATTCATATACTAGTACTGTACTCGGAATATGATGCATATTGCTATATTGACAAAGGGGAGTGGTGAGAGTAGGCGAGAGGGTAGGAGGACAAAGGCGGATTGGCAATGCGGTCAGAGGGATTGGAGCGCTGATCTTGCACTATTAGAAGATAGTATGGATGCGGAGGAAACCTTCTACCAAATTTCAAGTCAAACGGACGAGCGGGGAGAGCTCGACAATTCAGACCACGGGGAGGACGAGCGGACAGAGGGATTAGGCGCTGACGTAGGGGAAGAGCGTCGTCGGAGCCGCTGGGTCGCCGAAGGTCGTCGACAGGCATGTGAGCGTGCGAAAGTTTACCATTGGCCTTGTCGACATGTAGACGGGATTACTATACCTGTCAACCTGGTCAACGGTTGCGTCAACCCGCACACCACTGAGCCCGGCCGATGCGCCGCCAGTCAGCTTACTACTGCCTGCGTTGCTGGACACTAATACATTACGCATGGGGCGATTACTGTGGCCAGGACCGCCTGGAAGGCCTTACCCTATGCATGGTGAATGGCATCAACTAACGGTCCTCCTCTGTCCGCCGTATACTATGTAGCCTGCTACTGGTAAGCGGGAATTGCCGAAGTTCGCGTCAATGCACATGAGCGCGACGGAGCTGGAGCACAGCGCGCGAAGGACGCGTTGTGGCTCTGACCGCGACGACGCGCTGAGCCTTGATGCGAGCGCACTGTCCCCCGCATCTCCGATGACCGACAACATCAATGAGCTGCCCAAGGAGCTGAACCCAGCTCAACTACAGAGTAGGTTTATTGCCCTAGCTCAGGTTGGGATCAATTACTTCGGTCAATCGGCGGAGTTGAAGGGCTGCATCAACGATGCCCGCAATGTCACGCGTTACCTCCAGCGTAAGTCGCCATTTGGTACCATACGTTGGCTCGGTGGCTAAACACGATTGCGCAGAGCTTTATGGATACCGAGAGGAAGACATCGTTCTCTTGACAGATGACGCTCAGAACCCCCGTCAGATCCCGACCAGGGACAACATCATGAGTCTGCTGGTTGTGTGTGCTGACCGGCGCCTCACCACACGCCCGCAGATCCATGCAATGGCTAGTACGCAACGTGCAACCTAATGACTCCCGTTTCTTCCACTGTGCGTTGGCATATATTGTCCTTGGTCTCAATATCTCAGTAGAGGGACAGACTCCGGGCACGGTGGACAAACCAAAGATCTGGACGGCGATGAGGCAGATGGCTACGACGAAGTCAGTTATCCCGTTGACTTTCAGCAAGCAGGTCACCTCGTAGACGATGTGAGAGCAGTGTCAGTTCGACATTTGTATCCGTCATTGGAACGACTGCACAGATGTATCCGTTGTAGCGCCCGAAAACACCGCAGACAGTTCAATACGTCTGACGGATACATCCGTGTCCAGACGGATACAACTGTCGAACTGACAACCTATGATGTGAGCTTCGTGGTCTCCCTCTCTCTTGATCTGCGTTCTCAAATTCGTTTCAGACGATGCATGAGACTATGGTTCGACCTTTTCCCGCAGGTTGCCGCTCGACCGCGATATTCGACGTATGTTCAGAATCGTGCTTGGTGCTGAGCTATGCCTCTGACATTTATCTTCATGTAGTCTTGTCACTCGGGCTCGGTTCTCGGTGAGCCTGGCCCCAGGGGAGGCCCCAACCTCGGCACTACTCGCCGTTGGAACCTTCGGCTGATATGTAGGTCTCAACCGGACCAGGTTCGGTCACTTCTCCCGGTGCGCAAACCTCTGGCCCCATGACCGTTTTCTCGTGCAGAAGCCGTACTCGTCCCTGGGTCGGACGCCATCCAATGACTCCTTGGCTCGACGGACATAAATACCAGTACAGTCGACACCATAATAACCCATACCCCTTGGGATAAGCCCCGAAGTATCAGGTTATGGGCTTAGGGAGGTCGAGCGCCCGTTGAAGCGCTCGGATAAGGGCTCCCAGTCCCGGGTGACACCAGGGATTGCTATCGGCGTTGCAACGTTGAGCCTTTAAACTGTCTAGGAGCGTTGTGAAACGTCAGAAGGTCATTATAACTGAAAGCACATAGCGTGTGCATGTAAAATCATCCGTTTGAAAGCCTCTCGCATTGGTTGATATATGGGTTATCCTGGCCCCGAAGGCCATGGGGTATGGACTATTCCTGGCCACTAGAAGTGGCTCAGGACTCAAGTGCAGTAAATGCAAGTCCCGGAGGGGGGTGCCAACTGGCAGGGAAGGTGTTTCAGATTGACGTTTTACTAGGACCTCTAACACTCAAGTGATCTTTGCGGAAATGTGGTTGACTGTTGGAGCACTGTGTGATCCTTTATGGTAGTTGGTCACCGATATCTTGCTTCCATGACTTCTATGGCTATCAGCGCCGATGGAACGTCTGCAGGGCCGCGGTGGGGCGGAGGGATGTTTGCTGGCCAAATCTATAGCTAGGTGTTCGAGTCGGTCTCATTGGAATGTACTACTGAACTATGTAACAGGAAAGAACAGACCGCGCTGAATTTTCTCCGCTCGGAGGGCACACTTGTCCGTCCAGCGCTATATTCTATCTCCCAGTCGTTGCCAGGACTGCCCGGAGGGCCATACACTATAACAGTATTATGGGTTATGTAGGCAATTCCCCCCTATACCGACTCGGGAGACGGGGATTTCTATGGGCTCTTACAGGCTATGGGTTAGGACAGGTATGGGTTATTACGGCGTCGACTGCAGGCGGCTGCACACAGAAGTTTCGTGCTTGTCTCTTTGACGCGACCCTCCATACTCCGCCGTGTCTCGCGCCCTCGCTCCTGCGTGCGCATCGACGACCACTCTGATAGCGCAACCCTCTTTACGACACCACCTTTGACGACATGGCTGGAGGCGGAACAATTGCCGCAACCTCGAAGCGTCGCAAGAACCTGGCAGGCCCATCTGGTTGGGTATGTCTTCTGTTCTTCGCTTGCCTTATTTTCATGAGAGCCCCCGCCTGCATACTGCTGGTTGTGTCTGACATCACGTCTCTCTCAGGCCGGCCTGCTTGCGAACGCCAGGGTTTTCGCCATCGCTATCTTCGCCTCGCTAGGTGGTCTGTGAGTGTCCAGTTTTCGACATGTCGCGATAGTCCCCATACTGACAGAGTATCCCTCTAAGGTTGTATGGTGAGTGGAAGGATCTTACGATACGCGCTCCAATTTGACATTGCTGACTGAGCCGATAGGGTACAATCAGGTGCGTACGATGGGTAGTCCCACGGCAGGAGCGCAGCCCACTGATTCTTCGGCGTTACGATATTGTACAGGGTGTATTTTCCGGCGTGCTCGGAATGTATTCCTTCGACCAACGGATGGCGTCGGTGGTGGACAATACGGGGAAAAAGGGCTGGTTTGTCGCTATCCTCGAACTTGGCGCGTGGTTCGGCGTGCTTTGCACTGGTTACTTGGCCGACAGATTCTCCCGAAAGTACACCATCGTTGGGGGTGCGTGTGCCATTCCTTGTAGTCTCCCCTTCGCGATGGAGGTTGGAGCACCGCGGGGATCAGATTGCTGACTTGATTTCCGGTTCGGGCTTTTGATGCTGATCTGGTGCGAATTGTTCAGCCGTTATCGTTCTCTGCATTGGCGTCATTGTGCAGACCGCCGCCTTCCACCCGTCGTCTACTTACGGAGGTGAGTCCGGACGTTCTGGTGGACTCAGTCCGGAAACTGTGCCTGACATGCCTTCCTTGCAGGCCGGTTCGTCACCGGTTTGGGCGTCGGCTCGCTGAGTATGGCCGTCCCGCTCTACAAGTATGTTTTGAAAGCTGTCATGTAACTGATGCGAATGCGGGGGTTGACATGGCTTCTTAGCGCGGAGCTCGCACCTCCGGAGGTGCGCGGCAGTCTCGTCGCGCTCCAGCAGCTCGCGATCACGTTCGGTATCATGGTCTCTTTCTGGATCGACTACGGCACGAATTACATCGGCGGTACTACCACCGGCCAGAGCGAGTCGGCATGGCGAATCCCGCTTGGCCTGCAGCTTGTGCCTGCTGTCATTCTCGGTGTTGGCACCTTGTTCATGCCTTTCTCGCCCAGGTACGCTGTCCCACACGCTCACCTGGAACCTACACGTACTCACCATCTGAACGATACTGTTCACTAGGTGGCTCGTCAACAACGGTCGTGATGACGAGGCGCTCCAGGTGCTCAGTCGTGCGCGCCGCGCGGCTCCCAACTCGGACCTCGTTCAGATCGAGTTTTTGGAGATCAAGGCGCAGTACCTCTTTGAGAAGGAGACGGCAGCTCTCAAGTACCCGGATCTCCAGGACGGATCGTGGAAGTCGGACTTCAAGCTCGGCCTGTACGACTACATCAGTCTTCTCCGCTACAGGCGTACGTCATCTGCACAGCACTGTGCATATTCTCGGGAACAAGGCACTCACCTTCTGTTTTTGCGATGCAGCGCTCTTGTACCGTGTGGCCGTCGGCACGTTGACGATGTTCTTCCAGCAATGGACGGGTGTCAACGCGATCCTGTACTACGCGCCGACCATCTTCCAGGAGCTTGGTCTGACGGGCAGCACAAATTCGCTTCTCGCCACCGGTGTCGTTGGCATCGCGTACGTCTCTGCCTAACCCGAACTCGTGCCTGTTAACTCATGGAGTGTCTGTAGTATGTTCCTCGCGACGATTCCCGCCGTCATTTGGGTCGACCAAGCCGGTCGTAAGCCGGTCCTCATCTCGGGGGCATTCCTCATAGCGGCATGCCATTTCATCGTTGCTATCCTCTCGGGGCTGTACGAAGACTCCTGGCCCGCGCACCGTGCGGCCGGCTGGGCTGCGTGTGCGCTGGTGTGGATCTTCGCCATCGGTTTCGGCTACTCGTGGGGGCCTTGCGCTTGGATTGTCGTCGCCGAGATCTGGCCGCTGTCTGTGCGCGGCAAGGGCATGTCGATCGCCGCGTCGTCCAACTGGATGAACAACTTCATCGGTAAGCACACGAGCGCGCCTCGTCATGCGCCGTCATAACGTGGGAGCGACGACTAATGCGGATTGCGTGCAGTGGGCCAGGTCACGCCGAATATGATTAGCAACATACGCTTCGGGACGTTCATCTTCTTTGGGGTGAGTGATTCCTCCCATGGCTGCTTACGAGCTTTACGTTGGGCCTGGCCTTGAAGGCGAATGACTGTCGAAGTGACTGACGGTGGCGGCGTTTCCCCGCAGGCGTTCTCGTTCCTGGGCGGCCTGTTCATCATGTTCTTCGTGCCCGAGACGAAGGGCCTGACGCTCGAGGAGATGGACGCGATCTTCGGCTCAGTCGGGCTTGTGGCGGGCGAGCAGCAGCGCCTGGAGGAGATTGAGAGGCGCATCGGGCTCGACGCGTACAACGACCCCGACCCGGACCGCGCTGTATCGGAGAAGAGGGATTCGGACCTCATCGAGAAGGCGTGAGCTTCTCGAGAGGAAAACCGTCGCTAGGCTCTCACCTTTGTGGGATGGATGCGGTGGATTTAGTCGATGATGATGATTTTGCTAGTTATGATGACATCGGCGCTGTAATCGTGTCGCAGCTTGTTGGGCGACCGCTTCTGCCTCGACATGATCTGATGGTGCTCCTAGTTGTATTCTGTGTATTTGTAGCTAGTTCTATTCACGCACCTCATGTACGTAGTCCGGATCTCGGAGTGTGTAATGGATGAAACACAGGGTTGGCATCTGCATGGTAAGTCTTCCTTCTCGTGTTGCTGTCCGCCCCAGGCCAAGTCCACTAGTGAGCGGGGTTTGCCGAAGTTCCCGTCAATGCACGTGAGCGCGACAGAACACGTGGAGCACAGCGCGCGAAAGACGCGTCGTGGCTTTGACCGCGACGACGCGCTCGGCCCTGACCCGAGCGCACTCTTCCCTCCATCTCCGATGGCGGACAACATCAATGAGCTGCTGAAGGAGCTGAACCCAGCTCAACTCCAGGGTAGGTTCATTTACCCATATGTACCTGCTTCAGTCGCTCACTGGGAGCCACCGCACCAGCCGTCCAGCACCCGCCGCAAATACCCCTTCAGATTCTCGCAGGACCGGGAAGCGGAAAGACCAAGGTGCTCACCATGCGCATTGCGCACCTTATCACAAACTGCTACCACCCACCATGGTCCATCTGTGCCGTCACCTTCACGAACAAGGCCGCGAACGAGATGCGCGAGCGGCTCGTCAAGCTCGTCGGCAAGGACAACACGGCCCAGATCAGGATGGGGACCTTCCACGCCCTCTGCTGCAACTTCTTGAGGAGATACGCCAGATACGTGGGGATCGAGGGGAACTTCACCGTGTGTGATGCGGACGAGAGGTATGTGGCTCATGGTTATGGCTCAAGACCTTCCTTCCAAACCGGATGTATGCGTGTGGTTCCTAGCAAGAAGATTGTCGCGAAGCTATTGAAGCCACACCAGGAGCGACTGAAGGGTCGCAACCTCACTCTCAAGGAGGCTACCGTGCTGTCTATGATCTCGAAGCTCAAGGCCAAGGGTATGACTGCCGACGATGCCCTGGCAAAGGTCGCAGAGGCTAACGCACGCCCTGCGGAGGAGCGGATAAGGAGGAGGATGGAGCGCGGTGCTAATGACAATGCTAATTTGCTGGAGGGCGATCTCGGGGAAATCATCGCAGCCATATACAAAGAGTACGAGAAGACGCTTCGGGAAGCTAACAGCCTTGACTTCGATGACTTGCTCGTGTTCGGGGTCAGGATGTTTGCCGGGCACAAGAAGGCGTCGGCATGGTGCCGCCATGTCTTGGTGGACGAATAGTGAGCGCATTTATGGTCGATTTATCACGGCTTTGGGGATTTTGACTGCATGCTACAGCCAGGACACCAACACCACACAATATGAGCTCATGAAACACATCGCACAGGTGTCGAAATGCGTAACCATCGTAGGAGACCCTGACCAGTCCAGTAAGCGAAATATCTGCCATCGTACAGCTTTCAACTTACTGGGCTCTACAGTCTATGGATGGCGATCCGCAGAGATCACGAATCTAGCTAACATGCAGCGAGGTGCGTAGCGCATACATGCATGTGCCGATGACTGTCTTATGCAGCGCTATCTCATTTCATAGACTTTCCAAATACGCAACAGATATACCTCGAGACCAACTATCGCTCCACCGCGTCAATCCTCGCTGCCAGCATGGCCATTATCTCGCAAGGTAAGCGAACCGCAGTTCCCTTCGATCCCAATGGTTCCTTACCTGCCGACAGACAAGAACCGCATACAGAAGACACTCAACACCTCGCATCCCAAGGGCCCCCTCCCAGTCCTCCGCGCGTTCCCGATGGAGCAGGTCGAGGCCGGCTTCATCGCCGCAGAGATCAAGAGGATCATCGCCTTCACGGGGGGCATGCTCACCTGGAGCGACTTCGTCGTCTTGTTGCGCTACAACGCGCACTCGCGAGTCATCGAGGCCGCCTTGCAGAAGGAGGGCATCCCGAACAGGGTATTGGCAGGGCATAAGTTCTTCGAGCGCATGGAGGTGGGTTTGCTCCTCACAGCGCTCCAGGCGAGCCTCGCTGGCTGACCAGAGCCCGCGTCGTCGCCGTCGCAGGTCAAGGACGTTCTCGCCTACCTCCAGCTCATCGACAACCCAGCGTTCGTCCCCGCCTTCACGAGGGTTGTGAACGTCCCCTCGCGGACAGTCGGCGAGAAGGTGCGCGCATATACTCATCATCCCTCTCCCATCCTCCAGCCTGATCGCAGACCTTATATAGACCGTAGCCGAGCTGCTCCACCGCGCCTCTCAGCTCAAGCTCCCGCCGCTCACCGTCGTCGAGCGCATCGTCGAGGGCAAGATCCCCGACATCAAGCCGCCCGTGAAGCGCAAGCTCTCCTCGTTCGTCGACACGCTCCGCGACCTCCGCCGGTACGCGCACGAGGGCATGTCGCCCACGAAACTCATCACCGCGCTCGTCGACCTGGTGGGCTACCAGGAGCACCTGCGGAAGACGCAGCCGGATCACGAGAGCCGATGGGAGAACGTGCAGGAGCTGATCAACTTCGCGAGCGAGGTGGAGAACGGGATGGACGCGAAGGCGGGGAGAAGGATGGAGGATGCGGCGGAGAGGGCGCATGAGGAGCTGTGGGGGGATGGGTTGGGGGAGTGGGATCGGGACCAGGTTGAAGAGGACGGCGAGGGGTGCGTATCTCACGCTTGAGCTGAGGAAACTCGCACATCTGGGAGTCTGACGACACTTGGCGCCGGCCAGGGATACGCCTTTGCGGCATTTCTTGCAGGCGTCGATGTTGTCGACGGATACCGAGACGCCGGAGGATGAGAAGAGCAAGGACGTGAGTTGCAAACGAGCCGGACCTGTCTTGTGTTACTGACGAGGTGGATAGAAAGTGACGATATCGACGTGCCATGCGGCGAAGGGCCTTGAGTGGGCCGTGGTCATGATACCTGCTGGTACGTCTCCACAACAAGTATAGCCGTGTCCTCAATCCAGACGATTGATGACAATATGTCGGACCCGTGTACAGTCGAGGACGGCGTTTTCCCTTCAGCACGCTCAGAAGACACGGAAGAAGAACGGTAAGTACGACTCATGGTCGTCTTCCCTGTACCCGTTCAAGACTCACCCCGCACTATGCCTTACAGACGGTTGCTCTATGTGGCATGCACTCGAGCGCAGGGTCTATTATACCTGACTCATGCGACGTCGCGCATGATCGCCGGCGAGCAGAAGCCCACGGATTTATCCCCCTTCATCGCCGAAGTACGCGGCGACCACCAGGTTGGTGTCTTCGCCTACTAGATCGCCGCACATAGGCTGATGGGGCGGGAACATGCGTCTACAGACGAGAGGTGTCTTTTCAGAGGAACTCCCTTCTCTCCCTGGGCAAGACCGGACGACGATCTGCAAAGTCCTCGGCCGTCCGCCCCCGGACGAGACCGAGGTCAAGCGGAGAGTGGCAGAGTTGTGCGTCCTTCCTTTCTTTAGACGATACCCAAACTGAAGAGGTGCCCTGCAGTACGCAGACGGGCCGACATCCTGTGTGGGGGATGAACGCCCCTTTCCGAGACGTACCTGGCGTACCGCACAATGGTTATGCCGTGCCCGCGCGGTACCCTGGCCAGCAGGCGCAAGCGGGACAGCAATCTTGGGGTGGTGGTGGCGGTGGACAGCGATTGGGAGGAGTCCCTGGCTCTATTGTTGAGCCTGATCCTGACGGCTTGGAAGCTGTGCTCGGTACGGCTGGGCCCGTCAAACGAGACCCAGATGGGCCTCAAGGTATGGCAGATCCGTGCTGTTCATGCGACACGGGCTTACAACGCATACAACGTATATTCGCAGAACCTCCGATGTTCGTAGCGAGCAGCATCCTCCATTTCAACAACGCACACCGCGCGGGCATCATCCAGAGTGCACAGCAGGCATCGACTGCCGCTCAGCTATCAAACCAAGCCGCGCGTGCTCACGCGAAACTTTCTTCTACACCGTCCAGCAGCCGCAAGGGCAGCGCGAACCTTCAGGCACCTCTTGCTTCCTCCAGCAGCCGGGTTGTGAATACGGCCAGCTCCCCCGCGTCCAGAGGCGATATTCGCGATTGGTTCGGACAGCAAGACGTCGACTCGCAGGGCTTGGACCTTTCGTCGAAGGCCAAGGGGAAGGCAAGAGCAGCCGAGGCTTATCTAGCTATGTCATCTTCGAAGGCTACGCCGACACCAGCCAAACCTGCGTCGAGGGTACCTGCTCGTCCTTTAGGCATGACGGCGAGTGTAGCCCGTGTGAAGATGGAGAAGACCGAGCCTACTCTCGTCAAGACAGAGCATCTGGAACCTAGCCAGCTGAGGCTGAAGCGAGAACCCTCAATAGAAGAGCCTCCTCTAGGTTTAACGCAACGAGTGAGGCCTGCCGGAGTGCAGGGCAAGTCAATTTCAGGACGTATCAAGTCTGAACGATTCGACCTTGAGCTCCCGAGCGGACGACAACCTCTCGTGGAGGCTACACCGGCTTCCCTCGCTCGCTCCTCAACCTTCTCGCCACGTTCGGTTCCAGGCACAGGCCGCGTAGTCACCGTTAAACCTCCGTCTACCCCATCTCCCTTCTCTTCTGGCCAATCTCTACCATCGTCAAGCTCCGCTTCGAGCAGCAAGTCCCCGTCCGCGGCACCGGTGGAGATAATCGACGTAGATGCCCTAGATGATCCTCCCGTGAAGCCAATGACGACGAAGCGGCGACTTGGGATGGGTCGTGCAACAAGGGGCTACGCGAACAAGAAGTTCAAGCCACTTATGCCGAACGGCCCATGAACGACTGCCGCATGTCTCCTGAGCGTAGTTCGGCCACTTCGACATTGGTATCAGTACCATCTGCGTTCTTCGCACTGCTATGTTTTCCCGTCATGACGTCTTTCCCCTCGGATCATCGTGTACCTTGATGTAGTTATAACATGCTATCGCCCTCGACCTTATTCGCGCGCGATACACGTGTTGGACCAACAACGTCCGGAAAACGCCAGGGCGTGACCAGTCTCGCACGTCTCCGCCTCATGTCTTCCTTGAGGCAGGCTGATGCTCGCGGCTGCAGCCCTGTAGTCGGCATCTGACGAGGCTGCGATGATTATCTGCAGCTCCCATGAGCCCTTCTCGAACCAAGAGCCCCATGCTAATTGTTTCAGGTTGCGAAGTTCTTTCTGGATGTCTGCTTGCGGAGTTAGATGAACTATCTACGCGCCGCGCTCGCAGACCTCACTGACAGCACGCACGCACGCATGCACCCGAAACGGCTGATCGTTCTGCTCGCTCGAGTAAGTTTCGACATGTGAAGTGCGGCACGCCGCAATCACGTCAGAAAACCCGCTGGAATATATTGCGCTCGTCTTGCATATGTCTCGCACCCCGAGCCCTGCTGGCTGGCTACCTCGCTCGTCTTACCACCCACCAAAACATATTCTCTCCGTCGACCACATCTGCACCCACGACCTGCACCCACGACCTGCACCCTCTACCCGTGAACCCGCCCCGCCCTTTCCGTTCCTGTGCCTCAAAGGAAAGTATGTCGTCCACACCATTCAGGAAATCCAGACATTCGCTCGAGACGTTCGACAAGCTCTTCGAGCGCGCCTTTGCGCCGCGCAACACCCTGGATCTGACACCGCTATCGCTGACGGACGACGTCAAGCGGCCGACGGTCCTGGGACCGTCGCCGCCGTCGCCGGACCGGACCCAGTTCTACTCGCCCGTGTTGTCCGAGTTCCCCATCGACTCGCACGAGGACTCGCTAGACTCGATCTGGGACGAGGTGCGGCACGCGAAGGAGGTCGAGCTCGCGTCGTCGCCGTCGAAGGTCAAGTCGCTCGACGGGGCGGTGACGTCTGGGTCGTCGCAGTCGCCCACCCTGAGGCCGGCGTCGGGCCAGCAGTCGCCGGGACGGAAGCGTGTGGCGAAGAAACGGTCGAGGTAGGCGATTCGCTTTGGCTCTGCTGCACGTCCGTCGGAGGCTAGAATGGCGCATCGCTTCTCTTTTGCACCCTTTCCCACCGGCTTGCGTCCCTGCTCCTTTTCGCATCGGTGCCCGCGCAGTGTGAATTTCCGGGAGTCGCCCGACGGGAGAAACGTGAGCCCAGAGCCTTGTCTGGTCCTTGGTCCGTCGCCGAGAGAGACCGGAGCTGAACATGCTTGTGTTGTGCGCCGTGCAGATGATGGTGACGTTCGACATGACGGGCGTGAAGAAGCAAGATATGCATGTCAGTTACCGGACAACCCGCTTGATCGTAAGCTGGAAGGTGGAGCGAACCACGGAGGAGCAGGAAGGGGACAGCGTGGTGCGGGAGAGGGAGATCAGGAGGTACAGCCATACGATCCCGCTTCCCGAGGGGACGAAGGTGAGTCGGTGAACCGCGATGGGGTTCGCGGACTAGTCTGCTGACCGGATCCGGGGGATAGTTTGAGGAAGTCCGCGCATCTAGGGATAGCCAAAGACTGACGTTGACCTTGCCGAACTCGAGGTGCGTCCGCATGGGTGGGGGCGAGGACCAGCGGCCGGAGAGCCCGGGGACGATACCCGACATTGACGTACGTGTTTCGTCAACTGCACTGGGATTCGCATCCAAGCTGAGCACGCAGTAGCGTGCCCATTCGGCAGTGACAGAGTATTATTCGTGTCGCTGATTAATGGTGTCAAGGAACAGGGATGATTGGAGGCGAAGGACGATCTACCACGACTCACATGTACATTATTCCCTCACGTTGGGCAACTTGTCGGTCGCCTCGAGGCCAAATCAGATGTACTATAGCCATGGTTTCTGCGGACATTCTGTGTTTCTCTTCGACGTCTTTCTTTCCGAGTTGCGGGCAAGGTAGGACAAAGAGCAAGGTAGGCAAGAAACATCCGGGGGACACTGAGGGCGGCTAGGAGGCAAGTCGAAGGATGGCCGCCCAATATCCTCGTGGCCTGCCGGCGCCTGTGCACAAGCCATTCACCACCTGCCTATGGAGGAAGGTGGCCTGCCATATGAGGCGGAGCGGAACGACCATTTACGCTACCAAATGGCGACGCAGTTGCCGACCACTAGTCCCATCATCCCTCTTGCTCTGACCACAACGACCAACTCAGCCTCCACCACGCTTGGACAGAGGCCTCTATGTCGTCTAAGCTCGAGCCGGCCGCGGGCACGCTGAAGCGCAAGCTTGCTCTTGATGGAGGACGTGAGTCTGCGTCACTGGCCATAGTTGCTCACCGCGTTTCTTGACATTGACACGCGTTTACTGATATAGGAGAGCTCGAGCTAGAGAACGTGGATCCTAATAATGTCGAGGCGGATGTAAGACGCGTCTCATTAACTATATGCTCATCAATTGACGCGTCTGTGGCTCAGGTGGTGGAAGCGATGAAGCGGAGGATCATCGAGGTGCATTTTTCATTGCTGCGGGTCATCATCATGCCACAGAAAATCCCACTCATCTTCGTTCTCCCAGCTCGAGGACGAGCTCGCCGCACAACCTCCTCCTGCGAAACGCGCTCGCAAGTCCGCGGTGGCCGAGGCAGCTCCCCAGGCTAGCGGCAGCGGCAACAACGCGCCGACCAAAAAAGACGAGAAGAAACACAAGGCCCATATCAAGAAGATATTCGACCAGTACGCGCTATCCATGCACTCTATTACGCGTTTGATCACTCACCACGCGCATAGTCTCAAGAAGGAATGCAGGAGCGAGAAGGTCAAGTTCCAAGGCACGCCCAAGAGCATCCGCATCGAGGAAATCATGGAGTACGCGGACTTTGAGGCGATCTTCAAGGGCAAGGGCGTCCTCATCCAGCCCACTCCGGACAACAAGCCGAAGAGCACCGTGACCATCATCGAATTCGTACGTCGTCTCACCTCTCAAGCTTGGTCCTTTTGTCGACCCGTATTGATCAACCGGATATTGCTCAGCGCTCGAAGGACCAGCTGAAAGAGCTCTTCGGCGACCAGATCGAGACGCTCAAAGGCTTCAACTGGAGCCGCGGCGGATTCCCCCACTTTGAAAAGTCCTATAAGCTCGGCCAGTGCAACGTCGAGGTGACGCACCTCGAAGTCAGCTACTCCAAGAACGGGATGAAGTGCGCCCTTAAGTTCGAGGTCCAGGAGGAGGGCGGCGGACGCTGCGGCTATTGGTGATTGGGTTCGACCATCTCCGTTATATGCGATACCTTTGTTGTGCTCCGTCTCTTCACCCCATACTTCCCCTCTACGTTAATTCTTCTTCTAGACACGTGCTACTACTTACTCGTATTCAGTATGTAATATAGCATATGAGCTGCGTTACTTTCCCGTTATTCCATCTTATACCCTGGCGTTGCGAGATTGCGTATAACCGCACCGAGGCTATTGTCAGTGACGCCAGTGTATTCTGGCGAAGTGTGTACACGGTCCGCTATTGTTGGTCATAGAGGTGCTGGATTGCCATTCTGCCGGAGGACCCAAGCCCCGCTTCCATCGTCGCCCAACTCTAAATCGCGACTATCCGATCTTCACAGGATGATGATTTTGCGGCCGCAAACGGAGGAGAGATATTTGTACCACGTTATTCTAGCAACCATCTCTGATCCGCCCTCCTCCGACCCGGTACACATATCAAACGGTTTGCGGCGCACAGCCCTCGTCTTACTGCCTCCCGCCCGGTTGCGCACGATACTCCTCAAACATGGACAGCTCTCCCTCCGATGTGCAATCCGTGAAGGGCACGCTTGGCGGTTTCAACACTCCGAAATCACGGCTCAAGCTGCAAACTGCAGCTATGCGCGAGATACGACTATTCATGATGGGTTCCTATGTACATACGAGCGAACAGCTCCCCACAAGAAATAGGAAACGAGACTGCTATACTCACCGCGACATGGTTTCGGCGCAGTTGGCTTCCCCGCCGACGCGGGTACTAGTCCCGAGGGCCACGTAGAGGCCTGCGCCACGAACGTTCGCGCTGCACGAGCGACGATCGACCGTACCTCGGGTCCGGCGTCTTGCTTCGCAGGCCCGGTGTTGCGCCTGCGAGCCGGTCCTTACGTCGATATAACCAACCATAATAATAATAACAATAATTTATCTTGAGGTCACACATTTCTTGATGGCTGCAAAGCTGGAGTCAGCATAGAGCCAGAGCGATAGTGGCGAGCAAGACATACGTTTTACTTGGTGCGACGCCCAACATTCTGTTGATGGAGCGTCGCTGTTCGCCCTTGCAGGGCATTTCGAGCTCTTGACGTGGGCCGTACAACCAACCCTGGCGCAGGACGCCCTTACGATGGGGTGGTCAACCGGGCATGATCGGCGATGGCGTCTTGAAGCCGTGCCCAACGCTCGTTCACATATTCACACATGTTTTGCGAAGTGGCGGGGCATAGGGTGGAGCGGGCATAGAGAAGTGGGAACATACCGGCCTGACAACCCCTCTTCGCGGATTGCGGGGCTCAGGCTGTTGCTGTTGGGTGGTTGAGGGAGTTGATTTGCCGTTGAGCGGCCGTCCTTGTACGGCTCCCGAGGTGTAGGTTTGGAGGCCACCGTGAAGGCGAGCACGCGGAATATAGCCGTCATGTTCGAAAGGAGACCGCCTGCGACACTGAACCAAATCAGCACCGTAGATGGGAAGGATATATGAACAGAAAAGGACGTACCATGTTGAGACGGCCTCCCGCTGACGACGCGACGCTTAGCGACTCATCAGGCGCGACCCATGTGCCTAGGGCCCACTGAAACGGCAGCCCCGTAGACGAGCCGGGATGAGATGCGCGTCGGCGCGTACGTCGTCTACCCATGCCGCTTTCGTGGCACGTTCCAGGTTGCAGCGTCCGTGCGGTTCGCCGCCCCCCGCAACTGATAGACAGTGCATGGTGGCGGGCAGGTACTGGTCCCGGTCGCACCCCGACTGACACGGCAAAGCCGACGCGGAGCACCGACGCCAGGGTCGCGCATCCGCTCCGCCGAATCGGCGCTTTGGACCCGTTGTGCGGGTGGGCCGGGCGAAACAGACTAATGACCCACACCGAAAAGGTATGCCATTGACACTACTTTGAACCACCGTCAGCACATGTCCTGGATCCGATGAGAGGGACGGGGACTCACTGATTTCGCATCGATGGCTATCGGGTGGGAGTGTCGACGCTGTAGCAAGCGTCAGTGGGGCGTCGGACGTGGTTAGGGGAAAGCTGAGCATACGATTGGTACGTCGCATCCCCACTAGTTCTGGGATGACCCGTGCAGGCCGACCGCCGCTCGGTATGTTGAAGAGCCCAGTGTCGAGCCAATGGGTTCATGTGGCCGTGGTTGAGGTAGTTGCGGTAAGAGTAGTGGGAATGAAGGAAGAGATGAGCGAGCGATCACTGAATTTATAGGTGGAAAGGGCGTCAGTATATGGAGTACTATTGTTCGTGCCGAACGCCCGCGCGACTATCTTATGTAGCGCGGAGTAGTGATTCGGATACTCAAATTACACGAGGCACACTCGACTCCTGCCCTTCAGGGTGGTAATGATTCATTTCAGTACTCCCTAAGCACTCGGCAAGTGACTCCCTGCTGTCAGTTGGACAGATCGTACCGCCTCCGTAGTCCTGATTGGAGAGATCATCAACGGAACGGCGAATTGTGGTGCGGCCCGTTGTGCTGCTGGGAACAACCTAATCCCCAACAATCATCTAGGTCTGTGGCAAACAATCGGGAAGCCATCAGTACCCATTGTGCCGCCGTCCCCAGGCTATACCACGCATGCCAACGTGAATACTTGGACCACTCACTTGTAGCAGTCTTTCCCGAAGTACGTATGCTAAGGAGCCCTTGCAAAGAGAGCTTGCTTCCCATCGCAGAATGTCAGCTGATCTTGAATCAGTATTTACCTATATTTGTGCCTGTAGACGTTCTCATTGGGGATCCTTCCGTTTTCGAACGCCTACACCCTTGTTCTTGGTCGCAGTCTTCATTCAAATGGAACCTCTTTCAAATCACCGCCGTAGATACGTGTATCCGTTTCAGTCTCAGTAATTTTGTCCATTCTATCTGAAACGAACGAAAAGGTCAGGGTCGAACTCAAGATGCACCTATGATCATCGGAGTTCGGCCGCCGACTATCGATAGAAGTTCCAACAGCTGCCAGACTATCATGACCGTCGTGAGTAGTGGGTGCTTCTTGTGAAATGAGTGCGTGATGCGCAACGCAGGCCAGATGGGTGTGTGTTGACTGGCGTCCGACAGGAAAGATTCGTCGGGAGGCTCGTCATAACTAGTCTTCTCACTGTATGATGGGATGGTATTGAACGGCCTGCCTAATGTCTGTTACAGCCTTGACGACCTGAGCGAGATGGTGGGACCTAGGCGTTAGCATCATACATTTATCGAATACAATAGGAATGACCTCCATGCCAAACAATCATTACTGCCCAAATGCTGGGCGATACCTGCACGCGCGACGTGCCCATCAGGCAAGACAGTGATCGGATCCGAGTACTACTTCCCGCTCGCGAGCGTATGGACGTTTCTCCCGCGTGGGGGACGCCAACTCTACCTCACCCCTGCGCCCCGAATAAATCGTCTCGATAAGGACGGGCTCGTGCCGGGTGTCAACCGCGACGGGCGGGGCGACCTCTGACAGCCCGGGCTCGAGCATCATCTAGTTCCAGTGACGCTCCTTGAACGTCTCCGCGTCCGCGTCGGGAACCTTGTCGTTCGCGCCGTCGTTCTCGTGCACTTAGCGCGTGGTCTTCTCCTCGTGGCCCCCGTCGATAAGGTAGCTAGAGAGGACGGGCTCGCAGTGCTTCCAGCCGCCCTGCGTCGCGATGGCGAGCGCGGATGAGACCGCGGCGGCGATGGGTAAGGAAATGTCGTTGTCGGCGTCGATCTCGCAGCGCGCTTGTTCGATGGTGCGCGCGAGGGGCGGTGGGTCTGTGGCGGAGACGGTGACGCCGTCGCAGAAGCGAGGGAGGTGGGTTGATCTGGATTGAGGCTGGAGTGAGGAGGGTAAGTGCTCATCCAAGGGGCTGGAGTGGGGTTCTGACGGGCGCTTTGAATAGATGAACCTGAAAGGAGCAGGGCAGATATTTGGTTCCAACGGAGGATGCTCACCGCTCGACAATACGAACATATGTTCAAACCTGTCCGCGAACTCCTCGAGGCCGAAGCCTATCGCCTTCTTACCATACCGACTGTAAGAATACTCGACGGGGGGCGTGCCGGGTGCATGCGCAAAGGACGGGATGATGGCGAGGTCTCCGTCGCTGTATACCCGTTTGATCGTCACAATCGCGTCGAGGTCGGGCGTGCCGCTCGCATAGGCCTCGCGGACGACGGACGCGACGTCCTTGAGAAGTGCAATGAAGGAGTCCTGTTGATTTTTTCTCTTAAATGTCGCAACGGCCTTGGCGTGAGTGTCCAGTCGTTCTAGGTAAGGCATCTTGATTCGCTGGTAGAGCAGGGATTAGCAGTGCTATACGATCCTTTGCTTTCGATCTGGATCTTGTTGGGGAGCGGTATGGATTAAGCTAGCAAGCCTGTCATGAGGAAGAACATCCGACTCATAGTTCGGGAGGGGGTCAGGGTGAGTCTGCAAAAATCTCAGACTGCCTAGCATAGGTCCAGCTGCCACTGGAAGAGAATGATGGTAGGGTGCAGGGGTTTAAGCCAGCGTTGATAAAGATGCAATCTGATCGCCCTGCATCGTCCAAGCCGAAAGCCAGGGCCGCGTGGCGAATGTCAGGTCCCATGGGGACGCCGCCGGGATGCACTGAGCTGGGCGGACGCTGTGGAGGTCACACTGTTTCGTACCAGATGCCGAGGATCCCAAGCTGTAATACGGAACGCGTCGGGGTTCGGTCGTGTCATCCGATGCTGCAACCTGACGGTCTTCATGCCCTGACTTTGGAGTAAGTACCTACTATGAGCGAATCGCACCCATCAGGCCACCGAAGTACGCCTTCATAATGCTACGATTCGCTTCCATCGTTCTCTCAAAGAAGCCCCATCTCCATCGCAAACAAGCCAATGCGATACACGCACCCGGTTGCTCATAGGACGGCGTCTTCATCACTGTTCGCGGACGTCGACCCCTCTACTGCCACATGGCCAAATATGCGACATACCGAGATGAAACTCTGGGCATTCAGGGTATCGGTGAGGGTACCCTATCGCTAGACGATGGACGGAAGTGGCCAACTTACGCGAAAGTACCGGCAGACATTCGAGGCATAACGCCCACGTGGTGGCTGTGCCTTAAAAACCCAAGTCTTGCAAGCTTTGACTGGTTTGACCGCTCATGCTACCCGCTTGAGTTCTTTCCATCTTCTGTTGAACCTCATAACCGTCTTTGGATAGTTCGACTGCGGATTCCTGGTGGACTGGAACATCATGGCTAGCGAAAAGCCTAGCAAATCTGCGCCGCCGTCTTCAAATTGGCTTGCGCTTCAGAAGGTATGTCTGCGCGATCTGTCCCGACACCTCTTCGTGACGTTCATGCAGGTTTTGCTTCCCGGTTGAAAGAAAATAGCCAGACCGAAATCCTCGGATACATCACCGAGGACCTCAGTCAGCGCGTTCGTAGCTAGAAAGCGGCGCAAGCTCTCGCACACCCCAGAAACACCCTCTACATCCACTGAGATACGCCAGACAACGACCGAGTCTCACACGTTCCCCAGAGGAGCATCCGCAGAGGCAGATGTGTTGCTTCAGGACACGGACGAGCTGAAGAATGGGGAGTCTCTCATGCAACTGCGTAGGCTGGTCATTGGCGAGGTCGAGCATCCTGCGTCTCACCAACGGTACGTTTTCTGTTCCGTCGTTCGAGTATCAATTGCTCCTCTTCTCCGAGATACGCCCCTTTTCCTCTTCATAATCAGGGATATCCAGTACATTGAGCTCACGTGCTCCACCTGTCTCAGACCTGGGAAGTACCTCGCTCTCGATTGTGAAATGGTCGGCGTCGGGATCGACGGAGCTGAGTCGTCCCTTGCGCGCGTATCATTGGTCAATTACTACGGCTTCGTCCTCCTTGACGCGTTTGTCCAACAACGCGAGCGCGTCGTCGATTACCGTACCGAATTCTCTGGCATACGACCCTCCGACATGGTGCATGGTACGTTACACTCTCGATCTCTGCATTATCACCATACCCAATGTATGCCCCTCCTTCGTGCCGACAGCCAGACCGTTCGAAGATGTACAGAAGGAAGTTGCGGACCTACTTCAGGATCGTATCCTCGTCGGACATGCCGTCCACAACGACCTGAAGGCGCTCCTTCTCTCGCATCCCCGTCCGCACACACGAGATACCCAATCGCTGGCCCACAAACACAAGATATGGCGCGGCCGACGCCCTGCGCTGCGACATCTCGCGAAGCAGGAGTTGGGCTTGACGATCCAGGGTGGGGAGCACTCTTCGGTACGTTCGGTCTCTGACCACGTCATTTGAACTCCATGGCGTTCTTGGCGCCTTCCGTGCTATCCGTCCCCCGCGAGTTTCTTGCGCGGCCAGTGTATTAATACTGTGGTATACACAGGTGACTGACGCGCGGGCCACGATGGCACTCTTTCGTCTCCACCGAAGGACATGGGAGAAGAACGTTCGTCCGCTTCCCCTGCCGCATCACAAGTCGAGTGGATCTGCAACCCCGGAGCCGTCCGCGTTGCGGAAACGCCCTCGCGCAGAATCGCTATCTCAATCATCTGATGAGCCAGGAGAAGATAGCGAGGGGCGGGAAGGTGCCACCGATATCTCAATCGCGCCCTCACAAGTCGACAAGGGTAAGGCAAAGAAGAAGGGCAAGACAAGGACTGTGAGTGCGGAGTCTTTTCCGGGCGGTGGACGGAAAGGCGTGTCCTCCGGTCTGTCAACTGTGGTCAAGCGCGCCGGTGGTTCCGCCGGTGGCAGGACGAGAGTGAAGACCAAGACGAAGGAGAAGTGGTGGAAAGACCTGGGAGGCGGTACGAGCGGGGATTCTAAGGGCAGTGTGCGGTTAAAGGTTGGCTGAGCGGTGCGTTCTATGCTATGCACACATACGGAGCAACGAGGCCCACGGTTGCAGTTGGAATAGCAAGTACGGCTTCTTTGCGACACTAGTAAGTGCTTCGGCGTTCGAAGTTCCCGTGATAAGAGAAGCTGAAGGGGCGACCATCTGACAGGCGTTAAGATATGAGTGCTTTGGTCGCCCATGTACAGGACTACATTGGTTATCTTTGACATGACGGCGGTGATTGCCTAGCACCTGACGCACCCGTGTCAGCTTCCACTGTGGATGATACGTTTGTGCTGCCAGGAGGTCTGAGTCCTACCTACGTGGTAATATGCGCAATCGGCTTGTAACAATACCTGCCCCCAAACAAAAGACAGGTTGATACTTTAATACACAGCGTGTATGTCGGGTGTTCTCTGCAGCGATGCACGCCTGCGAGTCTGTGGACAACGTGAGCAGGTGAGCCAGGATACTCCCTTCTCTGATAAACGGGTGTTTAATGCGCGTGCGTTCTCTGCATCGCGCACAAGAATAGACAGTATATGGCATGGTTCCACCACTCTCACGCTCTGTATCGCCAACAACACAGGTTCTACATAAGCGGTCGTCGGTCGAGTATCCTATCCTGTACCATCTCTTCATCTTCCCCCATCGCTACGTCTCTTTCTTGTACGGCACTTTCCCCGACATGGTTGTCTATACCGACATGGTTGGTCCCTGGGACACATACGCAGAACAACTCATGCCCCTCTGCCATGGCCACGCACCCTGGGTCCGGAGCCTGATCCTGATGTCGGCGCGATTCGCCTCGCCGACGTTGGTTACATCCGGGAAGGCCACTTTCGCTGCCTTTGCATCGCCATGAGTTCCGCAACCGACCCCGTTAATCTGAGAATCGGAGTTCCCGCCTCCTTCGAGGGTTCCACCCTCGCAATCCAATGGTGACACGTTGTCCGAATAAGATCACGCAGACGCATCTGCATAGTAAAAGCCTCCAGTCTGTATTGATATCTGCTGGCGCTTCTGTTAGGTGCGTACATTCCGTGTTATCTCATTCTGTATCTCAACGAAATCTACAGTTCCACAGGAGGCTTTGCCTCAGCGAACTTGCGTTATCAGTGTAATGAAGCTGCCGGTGCGCTGGTCGTCCTCAAAGACCCAGCCCACAAGACTACCATGGAG